ATCCTGGTCCCGTTTAAAGGGGGGAACAACTCACCCACCCAAACCCCCCCCCGGACGGGGTTGGTGGGGTAATTGTGGGTTTTAAAGTCCACTCATCTTAAAGTGGCCAGGTTTGGACAACACTGTCCTAGGAGCAACCACAGGATTCCCCTTCAAACTGGCAGGTTCTCCTCAGTGATGCGAAGGCAGAAAATGTGGCAGGAAGAACTAGAAAGGACGTTGCGCTTGGAAACGGAAGCATCCTTGGCTGAAACTGGAAAAATAAAAAATGAAAGCTGAGAGACAGTCACAGCTCGCTCAGGATGAGTTGCAGGACCACCACCACTTAGCTGCAGGCCCACGTGGTCCTTAACCAGGTCCGAGGATTCTCTGGGCTTCCCAATGTCAAACCAGATTTGAAGCCAGCAATGAATCTTGTATGGGTTATCAACCACAAGTCAGGTCTTATTTAAGGCTGGTGTCAAGAAACTTCCATTCCCTGCAAAATCTTTTCGCAGAAATGAAATGAAATTATGGCTCTCTCTGAGTGACAGAATATGGCTTTGCTGGGTCAGAATATGACTTTTCTAAATCCAGAATATATTTTTCCAGAAACTGCAGAACGACAGTTTGTTTGTATCACTGACATGAGTACTACTTAGCAAGACTTCTTTCCTTCTGTTTTCTTCATGGCAGAGGTACCGAAAACAGAAAAAACATTTGAGGAGCGGTTAATTCTGAAGGCCTTCCTGCTGAAATTTGTTAATTCCTACGCACCCATTTTTTACGTGGCTTTTTTTAAGGGAAGGTAAGTTGAGTCAGATGGATGAGCACGCCGATTCTACTCCGTGGCCCCTTCCCGATTTGTTATGGTCATGATTGTTTTAGCCCGCGATGCTGCGTGCTTTTAACTGCTTTTATAGGATTAGCCTTTGGGAGCTGCCCAGAGCCTATGTGAATGGCGGCTGTAGTAAGCCTAAGTAAATAGATAACATCTACCCACATTGTAACGTTTAACAGTATCAGTAAAACAGATGCGGCACATCCTGATCTCGCCCTTCTTTCACAGCGTGGCGGAAGGAGGGAGGAATCGCTTGGAGGAGCTGCACTGACTCAAAGGCGCACACGCACACACAGCCCCTTGCAGATGCTCTTTAGCAGGGGGGGTTGGATCCCTCCTAGCCCCCCGGGATAAGGGAAACCTTTCCCTTTCCATCCGCTGCTGAATTCCTGGCATCAGCTTCCCAAGGACGTGAAATGGGCACGGAGTTTCTGTGCCGGGCAGAAGCGAAGCGACTGCCTTTGTTCTCGGTGCCAGATGTCTTGGGAGGTCTGGAAATGTCACAAAGCGGGTGTGTGGCCGTGCTCAACTCCTTATTTTTGTTTTACGGGCAGCCCCACTAGAGGCCTGTGCGGGGGAGCTACAGGGGTCCTGAGATTTCCAGGGAGGGGCTCCGCTTTTGAGGATGGGCTTTTTCCTCTCCTTGGAGGAGGGGCCCTGCCTGAAGCGGGTTTCCAAACCGTTCAAGGTCTGGCTTCCTCTGCAGACCATCTCTGAAATCATGCCCCTCGTCCTCCTCAAATGAGCGACGTGATTTCTGCAGACTCTCAGCCACAGAAACAGGACTGGAAGCCCCAGGTGGCCCTGGGAAGTGATGGGTGAACCTGTAAAAAGGGTAGAATTAAAAAAAAAATCATTACAAAATTTCCCCAGGGGTTTCCACCTGCAGATGGCCCTGTTTCCCCACAATTTTTGCTTGCAAAGAATTAAGGCTTTGCAGGCCTCTTTCCCCAGTTGAAATAACTGCTAGGATGAACAGAAGGACGTGGCCAACCTTGTACTGTTTTTCTTTAAACATATATATATAGAGAGAGAGAGAGACAGAGAGACAGAGGGAAAGAGAGTTCTTTTAATGGTTTGCTGTGAATGAATCATGGTGAATCATGGTGCTTTTCTCTGTTGCTGGTTTCACCTCCGTATCTGTCTGTCCTCAGGTTCGTCGGCCGTCCTGGCCAATACGTGTACATGTTTGCTGGTTACCGAATGGAAGAGGTAATTGCCCATATATATCTTCTACACGGGACATATTTAAAAAAAAAATCAATCAGAATTTTTATGGCTCTGCTGTGACTATAATTTCCAATCCTGAGGAGCAGCAGTATGTTTCCAGTGTAATGTTAGAAGCACCACTGGAGTTAAAGACCACTCCAAGAAATTGATTGACAGTAGACTCAGGACCAAAACAGCTCTCCATTTCTGCACACCATCTCTGGCTTCTCCAGGTCTGCTTCAGCAAGCAAAGCTGTCGCCATGTGCAAAGCAGAGCACACATTAGAAACAACTGATCTCCACAGAGGAGAGGGAGAGGCAGGAGGCATTAAGACGATCTGCCCTAAGGGCTTTATGGATCCTGTTGGACGCCAGCAAGGACTTAGAGAGTTTTCCTGCAAGAGTCACGACTTACTGGAGTCCGTGGCCAGAGCAGCCTTTGTTCAGCTTTGGCCAGTTTAAAAGTTACAGCCCTTTAAGAGCAGGAGGCGTGCCCTCGTGGCTTCATGACTAGACTGCTGCAATGTGCTTTACTTAGGGCTGCCCTGGAAAACTTCCTGGAAACCACAGTTGGTGCAGAATGGTGGGTGAGAGCAAACTCTAGAAAAGCAAGAGTGATATTGCAGGCATGACCAGTAGGCTTCTGAGTCCAATTCGAGGGGGTGGCAATGACCTGGAAAGCCCTTCGTGGCTGGGGTCCAGGCTACCTCAGGGGCTACATGAGAGGAGATGCCGAGGGATCCCTGTTCTTAAGAAGCCTGGAAAGTGGCCCTGTCCCTGTGGAATGATTCCCCCACTGCCACCATCCCCTCCCCCTGAGATCCAGAGGTCCCCAATTTTGCAAATGTCTAGGAAAATCCCAAAGAACTTCCAATAAGCCTTTAACAGCTCCTTTTAATTTGCTGTGTTTATATATTATGTTTTTAATGATTGCGTTTCAATTTTAGAAATGTTTAAATATGCGAGCCAGCCTGAATAGTTTTAAAGTAGGTGGGATATAAAGGAGGTAACTAACTAAATAAACAAACATATTTTTGGGTTGTGGAAAACATTTCATTACAACACTTTGAAACTTTGTTAAACGGCCATTCTAAGTTGAGAGGCTGTAGTTTCAAGTGCAAAGTAGGCTGTTTTGGGTTGTTTTGCACTCAAGAAGCAGTCTCCCACTCAAAATGGGACATTCTGTGAATTTTGAAAAGAAACATACTTCCCTACAAAATATTTTCCACTTCGCTACAGAATAGTTCTATTCCTCCTAAAGTTTCGAATTTGTTATGGTGTAGTGGTTAAGGCACTGGGCTAGAAACGGGGAGACCGAGAGTCCTAATCCCACCTTGGGCACGAGGCCAGCTGGGCGACCTTGGGCCAGTCTGTCTCCCTCAGCCCTAGGAAGAAGGAGGCCAGGGCAAACCACTTCTGAGATCATGCCCAGAGTCCCCCATTGGGGGGAGATGGGCGGGGGAGAAATCCAAATAAAAATAAAACTGCAGGGACTTGTCCAGGCAGTCATCAGGAGTCAACACTGACTCAAAGGCACATGCACGCACGCACACGCACACACACACAAAGTTTTGAATGATCCATCTGTAATAAGACACACCCTGCAAAGGCCTTCCCATAGCTTGGAGGCATCAGCAGGGGGAGATCTTTATTGCTAGTAGAGTAATGTAGCAGAATCTGGAAAGCTTGCCAAAACAATTCCTCAGATCAACTTATACCTAGAGTAATTAAGGCAGAGTCACTCTGAGTCTCTCTCCCTTTCCCCTGGACTTGAGGAATCTTTTCTGCAATGGTCTTGCTTCCTCCTCTGTGTTTCCAGGGTCTGTTAGATGTTCCATCACAGACACATAAAATAGGGAAAGGTCTTTAATCTTATGGTTTCAGCTGCCATTTTTATCTTTTTTACCCCTTCCTCCCCATGGATACCCTTGCTGTGGCTTAACTGCTGCCACCTCCAATCAATCACTTTGAGGATCCAGAAGGACTCCAGTATCTTGCGCTCTTCCTTCCTTTTCAGCCTGCTAAAATGACTAGAAGAAATGTCCAATGTACGTTCTCAAGTTTCAGTTAGTAGTAAACTCAGAAGTGCTGGTCTCAGGCAGAAGGGGTTTGGAAAAGGAGGCTGATATCCCACCTTCTTCTTCAAAAGGAGGCTGATATCCCACCTTCTTCTTCATGGAGTTAGCCATGACTAGTAGACTCAACTTATCTGAAATCTTGAGTAACTCAGATAGGTCCAATCTGGAGTTGCTTGTTGAACTGAGGAAGCTGCACATTCTAGGTTTTGCCCCCCAGAGAGTTCTCTGGAAGGCCAGAGCATCCAGACCCTTCGCGCACTCTCCTCCAGTCCCAAGCGGCAAGGAGGCTGGTGGGCCTGACTCTCGTGCCTCCCGGTGTGCTTCTCTTTCACTGCAGTGTGCTCCTGGAGGGTGCCTGATGGAACTCTGCATCCAGCTGAGCATCATCATGTTGGGGAAGCAGCTGATTCAGAACAATATCTTTGAAATAGGCGTCCCGTACGTATTTCAATGGCTCTCTCTTTTCTGTGCTGCGAGACTGGGAGCGTTAGTGTGCAGTGTGGGGGGCCCTCTTGGGGGTTCAGAGGCCTGAACCATTTGCTGCCCCCAGTGATACTGGAAAACAAAATAAGGCACCCAGAAAGAGGAAGAGAAAGGGAGGTGTCGGAACTAATGTTTACCCTTTATCCGAAATCACAAGGGAATAGATTTTAAGCAAGGTGCCATGAGTCAGGTAAAGACTAACTCGTGTCTGGAGTCAGCAGTGAGGGTGGGAAAATAAAACAGATGCAAGGTTGGGAGTGCTCCGGGTCCAGAGAGCCTACAGGTAGTCCTCGACCTATGACCATTCGTTCAGTGACCATTCAAAGTTCCAGTGGCGCTGAACAAATGGTGGTTATGACCAGTCCTCAGAGTCCTGGCTGTCCCAGCAGTCACATGATTGCAATCTGGGTGCATGATTGTCATTTGCAACCTTCCCTGCCAACTTCCCACAAGCAAAGTCAGTGGGGAAGTCAGCAGGGAAGGTCGCAAGACACTGGTGCAATTTTCCCCTCTTCACGCACCCCTCATAGCCCTCTGTGCTCACACCATGCCAGCCACTCATGCATCCTTGTGCACCTCACCAATCACACATCCCTTCGCACCCTCCCCCACCCGGCAGCAGCCATTTACCTGCTTGCTGGCCTGGGACTTGCAACTTCCCGCCGGCTTCCCCACTGATTTTGGTTGTGGGAAGCCGGCAGGAAGTTGCCTCGCCTAATGACCATGGGATTTGGTTAACAATGGCAACCAGGACTACAGGGATTGCAGTCGCTAAGTGATGTAGTCCCGCTTTATGACTGCACTACTTAGCGACAGAAATTCTGGTCCCAATTGCTGGCATAAGTCAAGGACTACCTGTACTTTGCTATTAAGTCTGGAGAGGCCATCTGAAGCTCCTGCAAGATCACCAACTATGGTCCTTCCTGGATTAGAATAGCTTTGCCCAGTGAACCAAGCATTTTGTTGCCTCCTGTTGTGATCACTATCACTCTGGAAAGACAACCTGGCAATGCTGGTGTTTAGTTATTGAGCGGCCTCCAAGTTGGGAGTCATACCACATCTATTCCCCACCAACTGCCCTGGCTGCTTATTCACTTCCAGACATACTCCAGAGCATGGCAACTTGCTTACTTGGGGCCAAGTCCTTCCAGGAACGTCTCTCCCATGTGCAGCATCTGAGCTTTTCAGATCTCTGGAGAAGGGGCCTTCCTCAAGATGCCAATGATGGGCGTTGTCCCAAAGGCAGCTACCTATACGATTGCCCCGAGAACAGGCTCTCATGGTGGAGCCTCCTGTTGATGAGGCAGCTTCCAAGACTGTTCTGCCAATAATTTCAGCTGCCCTCCTTCACCCACCCACCTCGTCTCCTTGGGGTAGCCGCTTCACAGTACAATATATGCACCCAAACCCTTGTGAGCCTCCTCCTGGAATCCTCAAGAGAGGAGCGGTTATGACTATAAAAATATATTATTTTCATGAACTGGTCTCCTCTGAGCAAACTGATTTAATTTCTTGAGATGTTCCAAAAGAGAAAACAGCATGTGAGGAACCTGAGTAAAGTGTATTTCCTTACTGGAAGACATTTCAGAAAGGACATCGGCATCAGTGGATTAGAAAAGAACAGAAAAGCTGGGGTTTCTAGTCCCAAACGGTAAGAATTAGCCTGTATCCGTGGTGCCAGATGGCTCTCAGAGAGAGAGGGGGGGAGAGAGCGCAAAGTTCTGTCATTTTACAAAGTCCCTTAAAAATATAATTATTTTCACTGTAATTGAATTGATGGCGTGCTCTTTTACTTTCCCAGGAAACTAAAGAAACTGTTCCGTAAGCTGAAGGATGAAAGGCCAGAGAAGAAGGAAAGCCCTTCGGATGCATCTAAGCAGCCTCAGCAGTGGGAGCTGGACTACGTCTTGGAGCCATTCACGGGGCTGACCCCAGAATACATGGAAATGAGTAAGGCCGGGGCAGCCCCTAATCCCCATTCTCTCTCCCTCAAAGGCTGCTCATGTAAGATTTAAGACATGCCGGACTTCCTCCGGTTGATAACTCTCCCCTGCCAGGCTGGCGTGGTGCATCCTGCTGTTTGCAATTCGCAGCCAGAGCATGGCTCTGCTTGAGACGCATCTCCCCGAGCCGGGAGGCTACGAGCTCATACAGGCAGAAGGTGCCGCTCGTTTGATTCTGTGGGGCGATGTGTGATGGAATGGAATTATGAAGGCCGGGCTCAGGGAGATAAACATTTTCTTAGCTTGCCGCGGGAGCGTGGGAGTTACAAGAGGATGAGACTGGCACCTCCCTGAAGAATTCACAATGTTGTGGCTGGAGGACTTTGGGAACTGGGGTTTG